AGCTGGAAAAACTACACTTTTATATAGACTTCTGGGGAAAAGTCTTGAGGAAATAAAGGAAATAAAATCAACTAGGGGACTTCAAGTCTACAACACATATTTCTTGTAAAAAATAAAAAATTGATTGGTAAGATCTATTTCAAATTTTATTTATTCACCTATTTTAGCAAACAAATTACTCTTGTAACCGGACGTTATGTTTCTGTCGGATATGGAGATTTATTTGTTAAGATGATTTTTAAAATTATATGTGTGGTAAAAGATGAAAAAACGAATTTTGAAAACTTTTCTTGTAGAAAAACTGCTTCGTGAAAAACATTACGTATTTTGTAGTCAAATGTGGTATGAAGCTCATAATCTTCAAAATTAAATGAAATAGCTATTTTTTCATAAAACTTTTTACTTTGCAGTCCATGATTAAATTCCAGATAATGTTAGCTATTTTGTTTTTGCATTAAACTTAACTGTTGAAACAAGATACTGAAAGTTCTGGGACACGCTAAAATATTAATTTGAAATTCATCATAATTATTTTGAATTTAAGTTTCATATTGTATTTAATTTAAGCAATTTTTTTCAAAGTGTGACAGCACTAGGGCGAACAGAGTTGTTTGATACACAATCAAATGTGATCATGAGTCATGCAAAATCCCTGTTGGATACAAAATACAACAGTGCCCTATGCCTTTTAAAAGAATTTTATATTTTCTTTTCATGTTAAAGGATAAACTTATATACATGAAATTGCACGAAAATATTTCTCATGTAAATATTTTTTCTTTCCCCATGTCTTGTAGGAATCTGTAAAAGGTAAAATTTGCATATAAATTGCAGTTTATTGGAGGGGACATGGTGTTAATTTGAAATTCATCATAATTATTTTGAATTTTTAACTTTCATATTGTATTTTATTTGATGTTAAATTGCATCTTAAAGAATATCTTGAAGAATTTAATGTCCCTAAAATAGTTGACATTAATCGTTTTTACAAAGATCAATAGTTTTAAAACTTAACGACTTTTCAACTTTTTACACATGAAGGATATAGAGATAACGAACATTATCATATAGTCTATTTATAGTCCCTATATAATCTATACAAACGCAAACAGTTCATAACACGACATATTCACCGGATTTAGGCCGTATTCACCGGAGGGTCAATGCGCCTGCAACGGCATTGTGACGTCACAATCAAAACATCAACAATTGTAAACAATGGTTGCAACGGCCGGAGCGAGCTAAGTACCTGAGCAGGAAAACAATTTTTCAAACCTTTTCAGGATTATCTTTTAACATTTGGACGTCTTACACATAGCAGAACTCGGAAAGGAAAACACGGAGCTTACAAACAGTAATCTGGAGATTTTTTTTCATTTTCAGCAATGGAAGGTCGCAAATGAAAATGTTGTCATCATGCAGCCTTCAATGTCTTATCTATTCAATTCCCGACTATATAATAAACAATTATGGACTCTTTTGGTGTTGAATGTGGTTTGTTATTCACCAGAAAAATATTCATATTGACCGAGGCGAACCCAAAAAGAGTCCATAATGGTATAGTATTCAATATCCATAAAAACAAAACAAAATAGGAAAATAGCAAACACGGACATCCGAAACATCAGAGGTGGGATCAGGTGCCATGGAGGTGCAAGTGAGCATCCCCTTCTGATCGGTCACCCCCACCGTGAGCTTCTTGTCATGATCGAGAAATAACGGTAAAAACCGTCGTCAATTCAGTGTTTAGATAGAGGATATTCAATGTTTTGTAGTTGAATACGACATTTATTTCACGAGTGGGACAGGATTTTTTTTATATTTTAACGAGTGTGCACATGTTACAACCATGCAAACAAATACTCCCAGGTTCTAGTACGACGATTGGCAAAACGCTTCTATGACAAGGAGGAATTGTAACCGGTTAACAGGAAGTGCTAATGCTAAAAAATGTATATGACTCGCTTCCAATGTTTTTGAATGACTGTGAATGTCTTGAATGTCTGTGATTGCTCCGCTTTCAATTTGTATTAATGAAATTTGAGCTAAATTTATATAATTATCTATTTCACATTACCGTCATAACACAACTGTTTTGAAGAATTATAAATTCACTTTTAAATACTTTATTTTGCACCCATTCTCAATATAAGGGCACAAATGCCTCTCTGATTTTTTGAAAAAATGAAGTTCAAGATAACAATTTTTCTACCAAATACCTTTGAAAGAAGGTATCTGAAGATTTTGCTTCCAGATTTTTTTTCATCAAATTTTAATACATGAAATAATGACAAGACGGTAAAGTAGAGGGTGATTTTATTCAGAAATGTAGCTTGAAATGTACGTTACTCTTTCTTCAATGTCCAAAAAGATATGTCAAAAAAATGTAGTCATTAAAATCACAATTGGAATATCTCATCTTAACACCAGCACATCCTACCAACTCTGTCAACAACATATTTTCTCCGCATACGAACTTGCGTTTGATTTTTCCTTTCAAAAAACAAAGGTTACTTTTTGATCCAGATGTATAAAAACATTTTTTTTTAATATATGCTTTAAATTCTTCTCTCTGTTTTGTTAAGAGCGATCAGTTTGGAATCTTGTCATTTTCTATAGAGACTGACACTTAACATGTACATGTAGTAAAATTCTATTTTGTAGTTACTGTCTTTTTTAACATATATGCATGCCGATTTAGAAAACTACGTAAATGTAACGTACATTTCAAGATAAATTTCTGTTTAATAAAAAGCTTAAAATTCATCTAAAATTCATCGTTTTGTTTCAGTTTATTCCAAAAAAGATTCTCTGTGTAAACACATTGTGTTATATGTCACAATCACCACTTTAAAGACACGATTGCCTCAGAATATGAGTAGGTAACGTACATTTCAAGCTTGTAATGATATGTAAATTAGAAATAAGAAGATATTGAGAAAAAAAGCAATTATTGACATAAAAATCATTTCAATGAAGCGTTTTAACGCAGTAATATAAGAAATCATAATGTAACAAACGAGGTTATTGTCATCAAGTACATGAATGTCACGTAACTTCGGTAACGTTCATTTCACATCTTATTGGGGAGTCCCCTCCGCCTCAGTACATTACCATTCTTTTGTGCTGTTTCCCTAAAAATTGACCCCGGTCGTAGCCTGAGTTACTTCTACCTGTGTGCAAGGGTACAGACAAAAAAAAATAAGAGTCAGACGTATTTTGCTATGATCTAACAAATGCTCGTATTGGGCCATTGAAATATAACATAAATCTATTCCGAATACATCCATCAATAGTCTTGTTAACAATTTCATTTATTATGTTGTAATCGTTTGTCAAAACACAAACATACGTGCTTTTCAGCAGATCTGGAAAAAAATAACCCAAAATGCAATGATTAAAAAAAAACTGAGTATTGTGTCCTTCAGTATTTGAAATGTACGTGACCGTCTTGTGTTCTGGGTTTATTTGTTTTGTTTCTTTTTCTTCCTTTTTTTTTTTTTTTGTTTTGTTTTGTTTTTTTTTTTACCAATTATAAGCCTATGCATACCTTGTTTTAAATTATCAACAACAATTAAATTAATATTGACGAAAAGTCGCATATTAAAAGGAAACAAAATGCAAAAAGGTTGCCAAAGATGAATTTAAGACACTTAAAAATAATTTTTCTAGCATGTGGTAACAGTCTACCACATTTACGAGGATTCGGGGTGCATTTAGATGGATTTATGTGATCAGTTGTCAAATGGATTGTAACGATAATTTTGTTTCGCTCGTGTAAACGCAATTCATTGACTAAATTAAAAAAAATGTCAGTTAGAAATATGCAAAATGTACGTTTCCATACGTAACGTACATTTCAAATATAAAAATCAATTCTCTTCCACAAGCGTACGTTAGACACGCAATATATTGATACTATTTGAACTTGCATATCATAAGAAGTGCATAAAACAGGTTTCGTATTCAGAAATATATACCAGGTATCAAAATTATATTACATATAATTGACCTTAATATATTTTTTCCTCAGCAGAGACGTTTCTTTTCATTAATTTTGGGATTTAGCCCACCTTCAACCTTTGAAAATTTCCTTTGTGTACACATTCGAGTGTGTGAAAGTATGAGAATACATGAAAATTCGTGGGAGATTCACTTAAATTGAATGTCATGGTAACGTACATTTCAGTAACGTACATTTCAAATGATCACTTTTCATGTAAAAAATAATTTTTAATTGTGTCAAGCAAAATGTCTTTGCCAGTTTACAGGATACAAGGGGTTGCTTATTCAGAGTCGTCTCATATTTTCTACTTAATATATATTCTTAATGGAAGAATATAGGTAACGTACATTTCTTTCTTATCTCTACGATTGTTTATGTCTTTCATTCCGTAAACATATTTATAAAAGTTGCTCAAATTGTTCAATTTCATTTTCCATTATCTAAGTAGGAGTAATAAATCCTTTGAAATTTAAAATTAAGCCCATCAATAAATAAAGGAGAACAAAAGTATCAGGTGTATAATCTTTGTGTTTGCTTGTAATGTGGTTGAAATAGAATTAAGCGACAGGGACATTGCATAATAAAAATTATTTATTATCACAAAGAAAATGTATTTATTGTTGTGAAAAGAAATATATATGATACAAGGTTTAATTTATCAGAATTTTTTTTCTTGAGAATCAAAACTGTATATTACACAGAGGGTATTCAGCATAATATTTGCCTCGGCGACAGTAACATACATTTCAAATAGGCTACTATATTTGAATTTGGAACTCCTTAAATACCCTTTCAGATCGATAATTATATGAATTCTTATTCATTCTTATATGACTATTTATAATGTTGATTTAAAAATTACATCAGTGGTATTTCTTCTAAATGAAAATGAGGAGACATTATTTGAGCCCCTATATTAGAAAAAGTGTTTATATATACTTTTAATATCTCATTTGTTTGCTTTTTGTTGGTGCTTTTTTTTGCCATTAATAAATTGTAGCTTCCGGAGATGGTGCCTTAAATAAACGACTGATCAGGATTACAATGTCCGCACTTCAAACGATGGAACAAAGTGATGAAAATAAATCAATGAATAACCCAATACCAAACACTACACTTGGTCGAAATAAAAATGAAACAGATGATCTACAACTGACACAAGCTGAAATGAGAGAAATGCTGGATGCACAAGAAAATGAAACAAGTGTCAGCATGTTTGATTTTGCTGGACAATTTGCTTACTATGCTTGCCATCAGATCTACATAAGATCCGAAGCCTTTTACATTCTGGTGATGGACATGAGTAAAGCTTTCAAAGATGTCGTTAATAGCGAATCAGAAGCACGTCCGGGCTCTATCTTCTCTAAGTGGACATACAAAGGTTTGGTTTTGATTTTAAAAAAATATGCAAAATACTGCATGCTCTACGTATGAGCAATTTTTAAAAACGAGTTAAGTTTTTGACGAAGTACTGAAACAAGAATATCAGTAGTCTCGTTTAAAGTTATCATTTCGTATGTTCTATGCTCGATAGAATGACCTTGTCAGAAAATACAATTTATCGTTAAGTCATATGCTGACTGACTTTTTTCATACCAATTGTTAGTCCATTATTTATACGCTGACTGACTGACGGATTTTCCGTTTTTTAACGATCAGTACAAGGAGCAGACGATGGATGTGAACGGGGGGTAAAGGCGACAAAATTGCGATTTGTATTAATATCATGTAATATATAGAAAAATAAATTATTCTGGGGTTCAATATAAATGACAGAGAGACTTCTTTTATTTTTTTTTAAACTGAAGATAATCCTTGCATATTTAAGTCCGCAATAAAAAGAGTGTGTATAAATACTTCAACATGTTCAAAGAAAAAGACTAAAATCGTTTACTTTTAGTTGCAGTGTAAACTATGTTTGCTTTTTTAAACTCACAAATTGAAATAAAACAGGATAAAATTTGTGAATATGTACCAAACAATTAATCCCTCAAAACTGATTAGGTTCCAAAGTTGTTTATTAATTTATATATTAAAAAAAAATATAGAAATGCCAGCTTTCAATGCATAGTCTATAGAGCTACCAGGTAAGCAAAATCAGCGAAACTTTTTAGCGCAATTTGACGTCATTATAACTGTGACGTTATTGTGTTAAATTGTGACGGCAGTTAAAACGTATGCGCAGATCAAGTAGATCGGGCCTCGTTAATCATTAAAATATATGCAAATAAATAAAAGAAAATTACTACGACGTTTTCTTCTATGCTCTGCTGTTTACGTTTGCTTATCAACACACCTCATAAAATCTCGAATCTGAATTAATGTGAAGCAAAGAAGCGTGCAAGGATGCTCTGGAAGGCATAATGATGAGTTCTTTTGTTTATTATAACTTCTTATAATGTTGTATAACTATATTTTTTTCATGATTTATTTCCTTCAAGATATGTAGTTAATTTTTGTAATTTGTGACATAAAAAAATCTAATTCAAAGGTGCTATAAAAATTGCATCAAATGATGTACAAGCAACTAATTTTATGGGCTCACAGAGAATGCTTACTTCTATTAGAAATCTCAAGCCGTTGAAATCTCTGGAGCCAAGGTCGTATGATTTTTAGCTCTACCGGTCAGAGACCAGAAGAGTTTGCGCGATAGTAAGGTGTCCGTCCGTTTGTCTGTAAACAATTTTCAAGAAGCTACTTCGCCTACAGTTTTACTCTGATTTCAGTATACATGTAACTTTTCACACAAGTACATTACAATTCAATGCATAATTTACTGCATTGGTTTTTTTTATTCCTCGAACAGTGTTGCGATGGTTACTAAAAATATACATTTCTGTGAAATTCCTTCAAAATGTTACTCCTATAGCAATTTTAGTCTGATATCAATATAACTTCGCATACAAGTAGACTACTCTAAGAAACATAATTTAGTGCATCAGTTTTTTTTTTATTTAATTGAACGGTGTTGCCATGGTTATTAGAAAAGATTTTTTTTCAATATTTTTAAGACGTTACTCCTCCTACAGTTATGATTAAGTTTCGATATAATTTGGCACACACGTAGACTACAATAAGATATATGATACTATTTATTGCTGCCTATTTCAAAATTTCAAATCAAAGTGCTACTTTTCTTTTGTTAAACGTACATACCAGTATAGCTGCAGTCTCATGAGAGACTTCTGGTTTTGTAATTTTTTGTAGGGGGTTGTTACTTTTTTCGACCAATGTCTTTTTTGTTTTGTTTTTTAGACAAAGTATGTTATCTTCATCTTATTCATTCCATTTACATGCATCTCATGTCGAAATTCAGGTTAAGGCGAAACTAAATCCTTAGGCCCTGTTAAAACAAATAGGAAAGAAATATTCATTCAAAATATGTAGACTCATAATAAACAACAAATGCATTGCAAAGCGAGCAAATCCAACAAGAAAAATATTTTATTTTACTTTATTCTAAAGATAAAATATTTTATATTCCAGCAAATTCGAGACACACTAATGAAGGATGAACGAATGGATATAACAAACAGTATTTAATATCAAATTCCATAAAACAATACAAAATAGGAGCAAAGCAAATATGGACCTCCGAAACATTAAAGTGTGATCAGGTGCCAAGGAAGAGTAAGCAGCCCCAACCATCGCAAACACAGGCGCGATTCTACATCTGCATTTCACAGAGTTTTGAAATGAAATATACAAAATTGTCTTTAAATTAATCATATGGAGATAACGAACAGTAGTCATGCTCAAAAGTCCATAAAACAAGTCCTAATTCTAGACACATTATTTAACCAATCTGTACATTTTATCCGCCTCCCAAAAAATGATAGTCGTGTCTACAAACGATAAAATCTCTTGATTTGAATTTTGGTCAACCAAATAGACAATATAAATCAAGTTAGATTATCACCTGTAGAGACGACTATAAAGGTTCGAATGGTGGATAAAATATTCAGGTTAGTTAAATAATATATCTAAATTGGGAGTGAAAATAAGCTGTTTGACCAATGCTGTAAAAAGGAGGAATTTTCTCTAACAGTGCGCCAAAAATCTTTCGCCGTAAATCGCACATTTTTGCATTACAGGATATGTAGCATTATGATAAGCGACTAATATATAAAACCTTTGTTACAACGCACTTTGAAAAAATTACGCACTTTGAAAAAATTTTTCAAAGTGCGTTAAAATTTGGGACCAAGCTAATTATAACGCACTTTGATAAAATATTTTTTTTCAAAGTCCGTTAATATCGACCATATTAACGCACTTTGAAAAAAAATGTAAAGATTGATCAATATTTCTTCGAATAATCGGTATGATAAATAATAGATCCTGGTTTGATAACTTTTTAATGATAAAGTCACTGTAGGACCTGAGATATTGACGTTTTAAATATTTAAGGTTTTGATAAAATAAAAGGGAAAAAAGGGTCTTGAACAAAAAGAGTGACGATTATTTAAGTTCATTAATTCGTTTCTTCTTCTTTTTTTTTTACTCTAGTCTTTGATAAGTAGATGTACAGGTGTATAGGGGGCACTAACAGAGGACAGCTTCAAGCAACTTAGCATTTATCATAATAAAAAGGGGCCAATTTGATTTGTTCAAAGCTATGAAAATTCTTTCTCTCTCATAAGTTTTACTGTACTTAAAAATTTGTAGTATTCATCTGTTTCAATTAACTCATTTAATATTGAAAGTTTTAAACGTCATACCAGTTAGGTAAATACATAATTATATGAATGCTTTGAGTATAGCATAGGCATCGAGACTGGGCGATGGGCCAGGAGAAGGGATGGGGGGCTAACCCTTTTTTGGAAATATATATACATCGTATAAGCATTGAAAATGCAGCGTACCCTTTTTAGGTTTATTGCTCCCCTCCCCCGTTTGTTACCGACACCTACGAGTATGTATTGGAAAGATAAAGATTTGGACTTTATACCCGTCTTCTCCTCTTTTCGACGGGAGTAAATCAATTCATTTTTGAGGTTAGGGTTAGGCTTAGTTTTTTGAAAGAAAATAATAAATAAAATCTTTCCATGACTAAAATATGATTTTTTTTTCAAAGTGCGTTAAGTGTATCCATGGTTTTATATATTGATGTAGACTTTAAACGCACTTTGAATTTTTTTTTTTAAAGTGCCTTGACTTGGTCCAAAATTTAACGCACTTTGAATTTTTTTTTCAAAGTGCGTTGATTTTGTCCCAATTTTAACGCACTTTAAAAATTTTTTCAAAGTGCGTAATTTTTTCAAAGTGCGTTGCCACAAACCTTAACGCTACTTTTCTGCAGCTAGTCCCGACACAGTAAAATTTTCTCCATGACACTCACCATACGACTGAAGAAAGAAAGACAAATATTTTTTTTCCACACTTCCATGTAACGGTTATTTGGTGATAGAATTATAAAGACATTATAATATTGGTTAGAAAATATTTAAATATGTCTCAGGCTCTTCTATACAGCCGCTATTCTAAAGGTTTTTTCTTGTAATTCGATAATTCGATCAAGAAAACTGACAAAATTCACGGCAAATTTACTTTCAAAAAGGGTAAGAAAGTTCACTTACCGACCAGAATTTTTTTTTTACTTTTACATGTGTAAATATGTACAACCATATTTGTCTAACTAATTAATGATTTAAAAGTATCGTGCATGTATTCTTTTGTAATTATAATGAATAGTGATTCAGCTTTGAATTTGATCGCGAAAATACCGTGAAATTTAAGTTCTTCTCGTAAACTCCGCAACACAGTAAAATTTCAAAGAGTGGAAAACCCCTTTCCGTATAAAGTTTTAATGAATGTATAAATGATTGATTTCTTTTTCATTAAGGTATTTGTTTTAGTCCGTTGATCTCTTGTTAGTTCTTCTAATAGAAAAGTTGAAGTCTTGTACGTCGTTTTGATATATTGACATTTTAACATTTATTAATGCAAATTACTTACAGCAAATATTGTTTTTTGTACCTAGATTATCTTGACTTCTGGCTTGACTCCATAAAATCGTTTAGTGGTCCGTCTGCTCAAGTTCTTGTGGTGGCTACGCATACAGAAGGCAAGACAAAAGAGTTATTTTACAGAAATTGTGTGACAGATTCCTAATTAGTAGACTGCAGTATTTTTAGCTCACCTGAGCCTAAGGCTCAAGTGAGCTCCTCTGATCACATTTTGTCCGGCATCCGTCTGTCTGTAAACTTTTCACATTTTTTACTTCTTCTTAAGAACCACTGGGCCAATTTCAACCAAACTTACCACAAACCATCTTTGGGTGAAGGGGATTCGAATTTTTTCAAATGAAGGGCCACGCCCTCATTCAAGGGGAGATAATTGAGAATTAGTAAAAATTTGGTGGTATGTTTTAAAAATCTTCTACTCAAGAACCACGGTGCCAGGAAAGATAAAATGTATAGGGAATATCTTCAGGTAGTGTAGAATTAAGTGTCTTCAAATCAAATCCCCCTGAGGTAGGGCGGGGCCACAATGGCTGACCAAAGTTTTATATAGAAATATAAAGGGAAATTCTTTAAAAATATTTTCTCAAGAACATCAGAGCCATAATTGCTCATATTTATATGTAAGCATCCCAAGGTATTGCAGATTCAAGTTTATTCAAATCATGACCCCTGGGGGTACGGCGGGGCCACAATGGCCAACCACATTTTTATAAAGAAAGATAGAGGAAAATTCTTTAAAAATCCTCTTATCAAGAACAGCAAAGTCATAATAGCTCATATTTATATGGAAGCATCCCTAGGGAGTGTAAACTCAATTTTGTTCAAATCATGACTCCGGGGTTAAGGCGGGGCCACAATGGCGGACCAAAATTTTATATAGAAATATATAGGATTTTTTAAAAATAATCTTGTTAAGTACAGCAAAGCCATAATCGCTCATATTAATGGAAGTATTAGGTAATTGTAGATTCAAGTTTGTTCAAATTTTAAACCCCCCGGGTAGGGCAGGGCCAAAATGGCCACCAAAGTTTTATATATAAATATATAGGAAAACTCTTTATAAATCTTTTAAAGAATAGCAAATCCATAATTGCTCATATTTATATGGATGCATCCTTAGGTAATGTAGATTCAAGTTTGTTCAAATCATGACATCCGGGGTAGGGCGAGGCCAAACTTTTGGATATAAACTTTTAAATAGTAAACCGATATCTACTTTTCTAGCCACAATGCTCCGGTGAGCGATGTGGCCCATGGGACTTTTGTGTTTATATATTACACGAAAACAGTATCACTCGATAAAAACCTTCTTTTTACACTATTAATGATTATTAAAGTTGGAGATGGAATTCAATCATTTGAGCATCCTGCTTGATTCTAATCATTAAACCGTTTCAATCACAAGTACGCAAATGAATTCTATACTCTATGACTCTTGTAGTTGTACTGAAAAGAATTTTGGAGAGGTGTTTCTTGACTCATTCACTATAGTTCGACTAATCATTGATCGTCTTGCAAAGCTTAGTCACTTAATAATTCAGTTGTTAAGTAAACGTTTTTTGTCTTTTTTTCCAGGGACTTATTTACTTTGCTTTGTCTTTACATTTTTTTTTACAAATAGAAATTTATGAAATTATAAAATTTTTAAACTAGGAGAGGGAATCTTTTTGGAGAGTCTCTGGACGTTAGTACCACCTGAAGATAAGACCAGGCTTTATGACAGGGACTTTGCATTAGCACTAATCGAGATGAATGAAGATGGGAGACACGCCCTGCGAAGTCTTAAAGAATCAATTGCTGGGGTAGTCTCGAAAAAAATGGATACAAAAATAGAAGTCCCATCAGCATGGGCTCTTCTCAAGTATTTCTTACACCTAACAGAAAAACCAATCTTGTCACTAAGTGACATCACCAAAGTGAATAAGAAACTTCCAGAAGAATATCAATTGAAAAGTCAAGAAGAAATATTTGATTTTCTGTCTTTTTTCCATGGACATGGTATGTTGCTCTTTTTAAGGAGGAAGGACTGAAATCGTATGCAATTCTAAACATCCAATGGTTTTCCAATGCATTCAGTAAGCTTATTGCTGACAAGGATCACATAAACAGGGACTGCAAACGACGATACATTGAAGATTGGAACCGTTTTAATGCCACAGGAAATCTCAGGAAATCACTGGTAGATGCACTGTGGAAAGAAGAATCTTTATATATAGAACACAAGGCAATACTTATGTCATTCATGGAGAAATTACGGATGTTAGTCAGCATTGAAGGAGAATCCTCCTGGTATGTCCCCTGCATGAACCAAAAGCCTTTCACACACGACGTCTTTCAACAGACAATAGAGAAATCGTCCATTCTGTGTTTTCGATTCACTTCCTTTGCCATGTTTGTCTACTACAGGCTAATTGCATATTGCATGAGTTTCCTGAAGTGGAATGTACAGTTTGATAAGGACAAAAGTCAATGTCTGTATCAAACAGCAGCGATTTTCGAAACCGAAAATCACACAGTTATCGTTGGTATAATCGATAAAGACATCCAGCTGCAGGTGCTGCGAATTTATGATCCACAACGCTCGGTTTCCTGCAAAATTGGAAAATCCATTCAAACAGCCTTAACAGAATTGACAGAAACATTGAATGAGAAGAAAACCTTTCAGAAAGGTTACAAATGCCTTAATCTTTTCTGCAGTGAAAAGGATCTAACTTTTATTCCTGAGGAAGAACTTTCTGGAAGTCAATGCAATTGTCCTATAGGCAGTGGAAAACATAAGATAGATGTTCAATGGACTTTGGGATTTTGGAAAGATGTAGGTATATTTATAGGAGCTCAAATGGTGAAATGACCAGAAGTAAGCTCTTCGTCTGTCTTTAAATAGTTTTCTAAACTTACTCGACCTAAAGTTTCGGTATGATTTCAAGACTTGTGTATAATCAAATTAAATTAAGGATACATAACAAAAGATTATGTGCTAAGCGACCCCTGGGTAGGGTGATAAGTAATAAATATCCTAATTTTAGACTAAATTTTACATAAACTCAATCCTTGGAACAACACTGATAACGAAATAGTAGAAAATGTCTTATATATATATATATATATATATATATATATATATATATATATATATATATATATATATATATATATATATATATATATATGTAGGACTCCAAAGTGCGACGGGACTCCAAAGTCCGATGGCCACGCCAAAGTCCGATAGTCTACGCCAAACCCCGATGGTTTGACACGCCAAACCCCGATGGTGCTGAAAACAATTTACGTTTATGACGTCATAATACTAATGCGGAAAACTACAATGCCGCGCCATGCCAAAATTTTAAATAAGCATTAATTATTATCGTTATGCAAAAACTAACCCTTATCTCTCGGATAGGTATTTACCTAACCCTAATACCTCTAAAAGTGTGTAGGCCTAACAACTATATACATACCTAGTTATCTTGGGAGGGTGCGATACTAACCCTAATAACTCGACTAGTGTGCGAGGACTAACCTTAAATCAATAAAACTAAAAGGACTAGCCCTAATCAGTTGAGCGGTGTGCGAGAACTAATCCTAATATCTCTGAAACATGTAAGCAATATACGCAAAATAAATAAAAGCATGTGCAACGATAAATTCGGAAATTATGGCATTTGAATGCAGGAAAACGGCGGCAAAGATTGACGTCGAACTATTGTGACGTCATAAACGTCGATTGTTTCTCCACATCATCGGACTTTGGCGTGTCAGACCATCGCACTTTAGCGTAGCGTGTCTCATAGGAAACGAGCCACCGGACTTTGGCGTGACCATCGGACTTTGGAGTCCGTACCGACAACGAACCATCGGGGTTTGGCGCAGACCATCGGGGTTTGGCGAAACCATCGGACTTTGGCGTCACCATCGGACCTTGGAGTCTTACATCTATATCTTAATTTTAGGTAGAGCTACAGTACCGATCGCACACAACCTTACACTGTACACTTCGTTTGTCTTTATTTCGTATTAAAGTATTGTAGTATTGTATTATACTTAATTTTCTAGTTTGTGCACTATTCACAAAATGTGAAACTTTAAAGAAATTAAACGACTAAAGCCGTGTTATGTATTTTTACTGAAAAATATATGGTGACCCTTTCACGTGAAATAAATTATTCGGATTCCTAACAGTTAAAGAGTACAGTATTAGCGAGTCATAATAGTATATATCTGCCATGATAGAATACCAACGTTATTATACAGAAAAAAAACAAAATAAGATTAAATAAATACCCACGGGAAAACAGGTTGAAGATAGCTAATTGAAGGTGAGTATCTCTTTTTTATGTCAATTTAGCATGGGCAGTTTTATTCAAAAACACCGGAAATCTTTTGGTTGCATTTTAATCGATACAAGATATGCTGTTTAGCCTTTATTTTATGCATTTGTTTGAAAATTAGAGTCATGTGAACAGAATTTTCTTTTTTTTTGGGGGGGGGGGTAAAATAAAAGTCAAATGTGTACATCTTTTCATGAGCTTATAATACATTGAATTTCTCAATATAGATCGGGGTACAGTCATATTCAGATATGAATTACATAGTCAAGTTATCACATTTCTTATAGTTTTTACGTTTATGAACATGTTAATGAACAAACTGAAATAATGGAGTGTTCAATTGCGCCTTGGAAACTCTTGTCTTACTTTTTGGGAATTTAATTCCTCATCAGACATTAAAATATCATAAATATTGTAGCCACTTCCTTTCTTAATCATACTATTTGATAGACATGGTAAATTTTACCTCTTTACCTTCTATATTTTCTTTTATATCGTTAATGTTTTTTATGTTAATAATTGTCACTACTTTTTACAGTGTGGAAGAAATCTTGAGGGTCGTGATAGATTTGCAAAACTGGGAATGGCGATAATCGATGTTTTAACACAGGCCCTCAGAGACGTTTTAGAAAGAGAGATTCCCTCTACACATATTAATGGAAAAGTGACATCATCACAATTACCAAAAGGTCTTAAAGGTCCAAATCCTGTACAAAAGAAAATTTTGAACGATGCGAAAACGTACGGATATCAGAAGTTTGACATTACACTTTTGTACTTGTTGATAAGAAATTATTGCAGTACAATCCCTCAGCCCACAAATAACTGGGGTTTAAAGGCCATGCCTGGAGTAGGGGAGACAACTGTTGGTGATGACGTGGAGAGGATCCGACTGATTCGAAACCAAGTGTACAGTCACGTGAGTTCAGCCTCTGCCTCACAGACAGAATTTGATGATAACTGGTCAATCATTTATGATATCTCTAAACGACTTGAAGTCTGTACAGGAAAAAGTTACTTGAGTAAACTGGATGAAATAAAGAAACTTTCCTTGGAAAAGGATAGACAAGAGGCAATTATAAAGGAAGTTAAAGTCGTATGTGAGCGTGACCCAGAAATACTCGAGAGAATGCAATCAATTGAAACTGGTATACAGTCTATACAGAGAGATTTGCAAGAAATAAAATTAGATAAGCCTCGCGGGAGAAAAGGTATTCATATATTTTCATATACCTGGGATTTTTTTGCTAACAGTTAAACACTAATAATTTAATTTTACTTATAACACGTCATTTGATTGGATAAAATTTTTTATTTATTTTGTATAACATAACTGGCCTACGTCACAATGAGTTACGTCAAAAAACGAGTTAGTCCGCTTGACGTTAATTTTTTAAAATTTAATCAATGTGAAGCCTTGTTCTGGGGGAAAATTGTCTCACTGTCTGCACTGAAATTAAATTACAAGGAATGTAGCTTATTTCAACTTAAATTATATGAAATAAAAAAAACTTGGGACAGTTTACGCTTTTTTTATAAACCTCTTAATATAAGTTGAAATAAGCTTCATTCTTTAAATGTAAATGTACCGAAATAAGAATATCTTAACCAGACCGACGCACTGATAAGGGAGTTATTTTTCCAAGTAAAAATTATTATCATTACTCACATTTTTTTTCTTACCAGATTTCCATTTAGAGCAATATACAATGGAATTATCGTTATTTCCTTATCTTATTTTTCAGAAGAAGAAGAGGCCTGGTGGCCTAGATGGTGTGGAATCTTGTAAATATAAATATTTGCTTTCAAATGACCGAAGAAGGATATTACAGATATGACACTGTATTGAGAAAAACTTATTTTATAGAATGTTACCAAATATTCATTTTAGAGCAAACATATATTTTTTTTTTCTTTTAGATTTCTAAAGTTTGTACATGTAAATATAATGTTTTCATCTTACTTTTATTCAGAAATATTAACTAAACTGTCATGTAATATGCATACATGTTGAATACCGTTAGCTGTATATGCTGAAATTGCCAGACATGACCTCCTGTGATTCAGAGTCAATGTTCTAAGTGTCTGCTGAATGAAATGATTCTGAGTCATTATCAGTAAAAAAAATTACTTAATTGTACTGAAAACAAGTAAATGAAATACTTAATCTAATTAAATTTAAGTAAAAACGTTTGTCACCATAGCAATCATGGAAAGTAACTTATTGTCCCCCGCTTTTCCGATCTGACCAATAACTTTGACCATTCGACCTTGGAGATTTACATACTTATGAAAAAAACTTTAACCCTGACCATAACTTTTGAACGGTAAGGGGTAGGGCTTTCGTACTTCACTTACATAATCCTTATGAGAAGACTTTTTGGAAACCAACAACTTTGACCCTTTGACCTTGAACTTGGAGTTTGAAGTACTTTTTTAAAAATCTAAACCTTGGTCACAACTTTTGAACGGTAGATACAGGGGCTTTCATATTTCACATATGTATTCTTTGTGGCAATTCTTTTCATTGGATACCAACAACTGTGACTTGTTGACCTTGACCTTGGAGATTCACGTACTTATAAAAATACTTTAACCTTGACCATAACATTTGAATGGAAAGGTCTAGGGCTTTCGTACATTTCTCAAGAAACCAATATCTCAGACCCTTTCACCTTAGAGTTTGACCTACCTTTCAAAAATTTATCCTCGACTATAACTTTTGAACAGGTGGTGCTAGGGATTTTGTATTTCACAATCGTATTTCTTGTGAGAAAAACCCTACTTTGAGAAATTATGTATTTAATTTGCATTTAAGAAAACTTGCATCTTCGTTATGTTGCCATTCGGGGTCATCAGTGTATCACAAACACATCTTGTTCCCTATATTGAGAGGAGATAGGGCTTTCATATATGACATGTGCATTATCTGTGACAGGATACATGTAATTCCGAGCATGCTATGATTTTTGCCCCTTGACCTTGACATTCATGATTGACCTTATTTTTTTTAAGTCTACTTCAATGATACTTTCTAAATAAATGACATATGAGGGTGTTCATATTAGACGTAATATGTCATAAAAAATAACATATCACCCACAAAGTCACCGAAAGCGGGGGACCACAATTCTTTGAATTCGCTTGTTTCACTTAAAATAAATAATAAATATCACAAGCGAACTCAAAGAATTGGCGTCCCCCGCTTTCGGTGTCTTTTTGGCTGAGATGTCATTTTTTATGACATTTTGTGTCTAATTAGGACGCTCTATCATAAGTCATCTATTAAGATATTAAAACTGAACTTCAAGGTCAAGGTCAAAGGGTAAACGTTCTTGGTATCCAATGAAAAGTCTTCTCAAACGGATTACATATGTGAAGGATGAAAGATTTAACCATTCAAAAATTATGGTCAAGGTTAAAGTTTTCTCATCAGTACAAAAAAGCTCCAAGATCAAAGATAAAAGGTCAAGGTTGTTGGTATCAAATGAAGAGTCTTGCCAGAAAGAATGCATATGTGAAATATAAAAGTCCTGGTATCTACTGTTCAAAAGTTGTTGCCAAGGTCAAAGTTTTTGAAAAGTTGATCAAACTCCAAGGTCAAAGTACAAGGCGAAAAGTTCTTGGTATTCGATGAAAGGTCTTCTCACAAGAATCATATATCTGAAATATGAAAGCCCTAGCCCTTACCATTCAAAAGTTATGGCAAGGTTAAAGTGTTTTCATAAGTACGGAAATCTCAAAGGTCAAGGTCTAAAGGTCAAAGTTGTTGGTATTCAATAAAAAGGTCTTGCTACAAAGAATACAAATATGAAAAATGAAAGTCCTAGTACCTACCATTCAAAAGTAATGGCCAAAGTAACAGTTTAGAATTTTTGTGTGAAAATGGTTCAGACTCCAAAGTCAAGGTCAAAAGGTCAAATTTGGTGGTACTAAAGAAAGGGTTTTGTCAGAATGATCTTAGAAACATCGGAACAATTGCAATGAAATTATTGATGTTAGACCATGAACATTTAGACAAGATCAAATGTTAAAATCACTTTAATTTTTTCGGAATTCTTTTTTTTAAAATGAGCTTTTAAGGTAGATCCCTACTCGTGGAATTAATTGGTTAACAGTGCAATTTTTGTCTTGATTTACATTGATAGACACTTTATCTACTTCAAAAGCACAAAAAGTAGATTGATAATCTATACATTTAATGAGATAGGGTGTGAAACACTCATGTACCCTCTTGTACCAAAAACAAAATCACGACTGTTATAAAGACGGTCTATATTTTATGTCATAGCACACGGCAAATAAATTCTTTTGAACATAAATCACAAGGATAAGGATAATAATGAATAAATTCAGGCTGCAGTACACATTACTGGTTGAAACTAAGAAAATATTGAAGAATTAATCTCATTTTACTAATAAAGTAACTGAGCTCAAAACTCAAATAAAGCTCTCTACTAGAATAATTATTTTGTTTACCCTGATTTTTTTGTCTTTATTCATGTCAACCGATGCTTGAAATATCTTTTAGGCATGATGAATGTATTGGTCATCTGTCTTTTCACCGAGATATGGGTTAAAACATACAGGTACCCCCATCGCAGTTTAATAGCTAAAGCCTTTTATGTCAACAAAAATATTCATAAATCAGCTAAAAAGTTATATATTCTTTTTAAGAACAATTTTATCAAAATTTGTACACACGTTCCTAATCATAAACATAAATTTTATTCTCACAGTTGATTCTGAATATTTTATATACAAGGGGGGGGGGGGGCATGTCCACTACTAATGATATGACTTTCCTGGATGCCTATTACTACTTACAAAAGATTATAAGCAAGATATACAATGTCTTACAAGGAAAATTATGTCTAAAATTTCATATACAACATCAGGAGCCTGTGTTGATTTTTTTTATTATAACTGCGTACCTTCATTCGTATCACAGGCACTTGTTTCTGCAATAATTTTTTTACCCATAGTATAATAATTATACTATGGGTAAAAAAATTATTGCAGAAACAAGTGCCTGTGATTCGTATGTAGAAAATTTGCCGTCAAAACGGAAGTAGGAAAATCCCATCTGCATATCATACCAATTGTGCACAAATAAAAACAATGAACGAATAGAATTATTTAATGACATAAGAGCAAATTATTTGCTACGTTTTCTGTAAATTGGTATCAGAAATATTGGAGTTGTGCCAATGCAATCAAAACGTATAGTATCAATATAACAACCTAGGTAAAATATATCTGAAATGACTGGCATTCGACCTCGCGCTTGTTTTTATACTGTATAAATCTCGATCCTTGCACAAAGATACCCTCAATCATCTTTATACACCCCTTCAACACTTCTGTAGACATTGTTTACGTTCTTGCTAATGTTATATGAACCATAATATTGAAACCGAAAATGGCTAATTCCGGCTTCCGGTTTACCACGAGTAGGCCCTTACTTTAAGTAATTTGTGGTTTCCTTTTTTTCATATATCATTTGGCCTCTTGAATTAACTACAAAAATATAAAGAGCTATTGGCACTAGTGGGTGTACAACCTTGTCAGTGCGGGTGCAGCTAACGAGTACCAAATTTTGCTATTATAATTTCAATTACTATTTTTATGATTATTATTAAATATTTAGATTATAAAATTCATTTAAAAAAAAAGACTTTTCCAAGAAATTGAATTTGAATTAAAACTGTGGGTCTGTCCTGTAATTGTTCAATAGCCCTTTTACTTTCGTCGGAAACTTTTGACATTTTTAATAAATCAAGTTTATAAATGTGGAAAACCTCTACTCTTTCGAGAACAATTAGTTTACTAGTCTTTGATTTTAATCAAATTATTGGAATTTAAAATGTTTTCATTATATTTCAAATTTAAATATGTTTCGTTGATATGGATAATATGTACAATAACTTGTTTTACTTTTTATTATGAATTAAACATTTTAAACCATAATACTACTTTTTTACACAGAGTTTTTTAATGTTTGAAATTAAAATTATGTGAGGTCAATTTAAAAAGTTCTTGAGATATGTTGCAAGGAATGAACTTTCATTGATTGAATGTTGTTTTACGTCCCATTTCAGAATTTTTCACTCATATGGAGACGTCACCATATACCGGTGAAGGACTTCAAATTTTGACCTTTACTCGGCACCCAGAGCCATTGAGTAGTGAGGGATCTCTATCGTGCCTACGCCTGCCGTATCACGGGGCCTATGTTTTTTAAGTCTCAAATCTCAAACCAAGGATGCGTAACTTTCACTTTAAAGTGCCAAGCACATGGCGATGGAACAGCTGCTACCCATTTCTTATCGACTTAAGTTAGTCGCACCCAAGATTCAAACTCGCCCGCTTTACTGACTGAGCTACCGTGAATGGTGAATGATATTTCCTTATTGCACGACCTTTAGCTTTTTGGAATATTATATTAACTTTATTACAAAAATAATACTTGCAGAATGGTGTTACAAAACGTAAAAAAAATAATTCTCTGAATAACATTGTTTGATTGAAAAAAAATTGTCTCCGAATTTCGTCTGCATCACAATAGATTATGCACATTTTATTTAATTAATAAGATCCCACATTTTCAAGTCTTATAAATAATGATGAAGAGAATAGGACTTGTTACAAATATAATTTTTTTTGTAAAAGTATACTTGTAATAAGCAGATAAAATTAAGCTCAGTATTTTTGGACCCTATGAAAATTTAAGTTCAGATTTACTCTTTCAAAGTGCTAAACTTAGCTTCGATGTTCATGCAGAAATGAAAAACCTCTTCAACTAACCTCTATATGCCTGACATCCCTAAAGCTTTGCATTATACACCCTTTTACTAGCTCATATCAAGGGACGTGCGGTAGTTCCACCACTATCCGAGGACTTCATTGCGTTTTACACACATGCTGCTTAACCATTACATTACCCACGACTATTATAGCATGAGTCTCTCATGTTATGATTGTATTAAATGCAAGCTGTATCAGTGGTTATTGTTGTCTTCTTGAATTTTAAA